GATCCAAGCTGCATCCATTCCTTAGATGCGGGTTGATTAGGATTTTGTTGCTGATTCGGATTCTGCGGGCTAGCATTCATGTTGGCTGCCCGTCGATTAGCTGATCATGTGGCGTCCCTAAGGACATCCAATCCCTGTGCGCGTGGCAGTTGTTTATGTATGCGCCCCGCCTGATTTGGCTTTGTAATTTTCAACACGGTTCTTCAGCTTCATTCGAAGCAATTCAATTCGATTCGATTCGATTTCGATTTCTGATTCAATTCTATTCTATTTCGATTTCCAATTCAATTTCTATTCGATTGGATTCAGTAGTGAACTCAGAAGGGTGTTGATTTACGGTGCAGGATGCTGCAAGAAAACTGGTCGTATGTACGTCTTTGTACCCACCCGACCCTCAACAGGGTAACCGTGAGGGAGGGGAATTCCTTGTGAGGTTGCTTGTCTTTCTTTTTTTTTTTGACACGTCCTTGGTTGGGCTGGATCCTCCAGTCCCCTTTTTAAGAAAGTGTGGGAAGCCGCTATCTTCATTGTGTTCATCTAATTTCAACCAGGATTCAAACTCAGGTTCTGTTTACTAACAGTTACATGTGTGCACCATTCAGCCGCGTGCGGGGTGGATCCTTCAGTCTCCTGTCACATGTGGAGCTCTTTTTTTTACTGTTTCACGGTTATGGTGTTTACTCTAACCTTCTGTTTCGTGAGCCTGTGCTGGAGGAAACAGCATAGCCATGCGACACGCACAGCCATTCCCCCCCCCCCCCCCCTCTCCAGTATCAGCTTTTTCCACCTGTTTCACGGGAAATGTGCTGAAAGCAGCATGGCCAGAGACATTGCTATCTGCCTCACGCAGCCGATCCCAACCGGCGGCCAACGTCTCCCTCCCAGAAGCAGAAGGCATAACGATTGTCGCTCCGTCTGGCATTCATTCTGCAGGGAACTCGCAATGGCCTCCATTGCATCACAGCCCCTGGACCCTAAATTCGATCAGAGACGATTGATTCCTTTTTTTCTTTTTTTTCTTTTTTTTTTTCAAACACGACCCCTCAGTGTTAGTGGTGCTGATAAGAGCATACACCACTAGCACCTAGGGAGTGGCTCCGTCTATTGGTGGGGAGCATCACCTGCTGGAAAACGGGTCCAGCGTCCCTTATACATGAGAGTTTGATCCACATCGGAAAAAACATCAAGTGAGCCAGGGGAGAAACCAGCCAGCATTCAAGTTGATTGCCCTGGTGGACTGGGCAGGGTAGAGGAATCTCTTCACCATAAGACCGGCGCCTGATCTTGCTACTACATACTAATTCCTCTCCCTCCCTATCTCCCTTTTTTTGCATCGTTTGGCCAAGTACAGAATGAGTCTAGAATGAAAAACCAGCAATGCTCAAACCAGACAGACCTGTTCTAGGCACCTGTGTGCCAATAGGGCTCTGCTATTGATGAGTAGGGACAGTTGAAAAGCAGCAATGATAAAAAAAGACAGACCTGTCTTAGGCACCTGTGTACCAGTGGGACTCTACTATTGAGTTTGCAGGCGGCGGGAAAGGGTCAGGGAAATCTGAGAGAGGCTGCAACGGGATGGAGGGGTCAATCCTGGTCCAATCATGAAAGTGAAGGTGGTAGTCCCTTTCTATCTTTCCCTTATCTCGTCTTTCCCCCCCCTCCCCTCCCTCTCCCCCTTTCCACTGTATTTCCGCTATCCAGCCCCCTTGTTCCCCTCCCAGCCAGTCTCTGCAGAAAGATTGTATTTGTATCTTGATTTCTGTTCTTGAGTGCATAAAGGTTATCTTTTCCTTTATTTTTTCCCATTGCACTGTGAGCTCTGCCTGGATCTGGTGTTTGATTGTCTCTATGACAGCCGGACCTTCGAGACGGACTTCTTCCATCCCCTGGTGCAGCTTTTCCACCAGATCACCCAGAGTACTGCTCTTCGACCCACTAGAAACATATTTCTCTCGAAGGTACTTGCTGGTTCCGACTGCCAAGCTTCACACAGAATTGATTGCCAGTTCCACGGCCACGGGGTTGTTATGCCTAACAGGCTCCACACTCGGTCCCACCATCTCCATAACCAGACGGATCCCGGGCACTGCAGAAAAATATGCTCAATTGTTTCTGGTCTCCTCCTTGCTGGGTATGAGGCCACACATAATTTACACCAGGGGAGGGCCAGGCCCTTCTGTTCCAAAGAGGAACGATCAATCAACCAGTCATTTGTAGGTAGGCATTGGTGTCTATTTGCCATTGTAAGGACGCTATCTTGGCCGGTGATGTTTTACTGAGTCTGAACCATTTGATTGGTTGTAAGGCATTCCTTTCCAGGTTTAAGTGTCTTATCCAACGCTCAATTACTACATCTTTTAGGTTCAGTTTTGGGCGCAGTAGGCGGTAGGCTCCTTTGACTGTCATTGAGTGGATCTGTTGTTTTCCTGTTTTGCCTCTGCCTATCTGGGTAGTCCATACCCAAGCGGCCGGATCAAAGGCGAGATGTTCAATCGAGGTGTCGGGTTTGTACGCCCACCGCTGTTCCTTTTCTTCGAGCACCCTGATTCGGAAGATTTCTTCTTCTTTGAGCCACCTTGTTTCTTCCGGGCTTGTCCTGACCAGCCTATTTTTATTTCCGATTTCAAAGAGGCTCGGTCGGCCAGATATCACCACGTTCCCTACCCTGTCTGTACATCCCTTAATCCCTACTCAGTCGCTTTCTTCCAAGGTTGGTCCTTTTTTAAAAATCCTTACCCAGTCTAAGGGAATTGAGAAGATAATTTTCACCAGAGCTTCTCCAATATTGTGACAATATCGCAGTCGCTCCCTAAATTGAGTTTCTGTGATCCAGTCCTTTGCGTCTAAGTCCCAGATATCCCCAATTCTGAGGATGCCTCTGCTCACCCATCCCCTCCAGGGGGATCCGGTACAAAGGTATACTGAGCCTTGAGAATCAGTGACCCACCTGTTCCCAAATAATGGCTGCCTCAATACTTCTTCCAACCGCCGCAGGGCCACCTTGTTCGGGAGCCGTAGCTTGCGCCAAGTGCTAAGTAACGCAGTCCAAAAGGGGTCATTTTTTATATCTCTCCTTGCTGCTTGTCTGTCAGATTCCGGTTCCTCGTTGGTTTTCGTTGTCTTTCTGGGTATGGTCCAGTATCTGTCCTCTAACCACCCGAGCGGGTCTATGTTGTCCGGGGTGGGGAGGGCCAGTCTTCTGATCTGTTGTAGAGCCATTTGTCGCCAGGGGATTTCTTGATTGATTCCTTGATTGATTCCTTGATTGATTCCTTGATTTTCATTGATTGATTCATTGACTGTCTCATTGATTGATTCATTGATTGTCTCATTAATTGATTCACTGATTGTCTCATTGATTGATTCATCGATTGTCTCATTGATTGATTCATTGATCCATTGATCCATTGATCCATTGGTTGATTCATTCATACGTTGAACCGTTGATTTATTCATTCATTGATTCATTGTTTCATTCATTGATTCATTCGTTGATTCAGGTATTCTATTCATTCTGCAGGAAACTCGCAGTGGCCTCCATTGTGTCACAGCGCCTGGACCCTATATTCGATCAGAGACGATTGATTCCTTGATTGATTCATTGATTGTCTCCTTGATTGATTCATTGATGCATTGATTGATTCATTGATGCATTGATTGATTCATTGATGCATTGATTGATTCATTGATTCACTGATACATTGATACATTGATCCGTTGATTTATTCATTGATCGATTCATTGTTTCATTCATTGATTCATTCAAGAGTGAGTGAGTGAGTGAGCGGGTGAGTGATTGTGAGATACAGTGAGCGGGTGATTGGTTGGTTGGTTGGTTGGTTGGTTGGTTGGTTGGCTATTGGTTGATTGATTATCCAGTTAATCCACGGGTTGCTTGATGATGGAAAAATTGCTAACTTCCTCGTTTCCGCCTTTTTAGAACAGTTTTCATTGTTTTTTTTAAGGTCCGTATGGCCCCATATACCCCTCCTCCTCCTCTCTTTGGTTGATTCATCAGTTTTTCCGAGCACCATGGAGGAGATCCTTGCCTTATCAGAGTTCTTCAGCCTTCCCTTCCACTTCACTACCCGACAAGCCAAGTCTTGATGAGAGGTTCGGCATGGACTCATTTCAATATCCTGACAACGTACCTTTGGATTCTAGAGGTCTTCAGGTCTAGTCCTCGGAGACACTAGACTGCAGCACCACCAGATTATATATAATATACAGTACACATGTAATACTCATAGACATACATATGCATGCATGCATGTATGTACGTACGTATGCATGCATGTATGTATGTATGTATGTATGTATGTATGTATGTATGTACCTATGCATGTATGTATGTATGTATGTATGTATGTATGTATGTATGTATAGCTACATATACACTTCCGAAGCGAGCGAAAATTCAGCTGTGCGTTCAAGAGAACTGTAAGTCTTAGAGATCGAGCTCTTCTGATTCACATCTCTTGATACTAAGTTCTCCGCTGCAGTTCCGCCATCTGTCGCGGGGTCCCTTGCCTTCAGGAGGCCCTTTTAAAAATTATTTTGACAAAAGCTGGTTTTAATTTTAATTACTGCCAGTGCCTGAGCAGGCAAACGAGCAAGCACCCCGCAATTCTGCGCCGATGACCCTCCATCCTACGGTTATGTGCATCGAGGAATACGGCAACGAGAATAGCTCTGCTGTATCCATAAGACGCAGGGGAGACAGGAAGACCAAGAGGACGACGACAAGGATTGAACAACAACGCCCAAGCACAGACAACTCGGGGAGAAAGAAAGAGAGACAGACAGACACACAGACAGACAGGCAGGGAGACGGACAAACACGAGGGAAGACAGACGGGTCACGGGACAGACGACGAGGAGGACGAGGAGGACAAGGAGGAGGTAGAAGAGGAGCGGACGACATCGCTAAAAAAACAGACGATTTGGACGAAGAGCGAGCGAGAGAGAGAGAGAGGGGGGGGGAGAGAGAGAGCACCTGCCTTGTCGATTTCCTCGAAAGCTTTCTGGACAGCACGGGGATCTGATGCTGCTTTGGTGCTTTTCAGTAATTCCCGGAGGCGCAGGCCCGCCTCGTGGCGTTTTCTATGCCAATCAGAGCGAAAGACGAAGGTGTCGTCACCTGTGCGCAGTCTGTGATCCGTTACTGCATTTCTCTCCCTCAGGAAATGCCCATCGTCTGCTACAACCCGCAGCTTATGGCCCTGAAAATCCGCCCCGTTCAGCTCGGCCACGGCCCTCGCCGCCGCTTCCACCGACCCCGGCTCCGCGAAGTACAGGAAGCAGAAGCCTCTGTTCACCTCCGGCCTCCTATGGCCCTTTATTAGAATGATTCTATCTACCTTTCCACACTGCGCGAAAAACTCCGCCACGTCCTCCTTCGTCACCATCGGCGGTATACCCCCGATGTAAATCTTCCCTTTCTCCCCTTCTCCTCCTTTCCCCTTCTCCCCGCCACTGCCTTCTTCCTCCACCCGCCTGCCGCTCCCATGCCCTTTCTTCCCTGACGGTGACGACTTCGGCGAGGGAGCAGAGGAGGAGGAGGAGGAGGAAACAGAAGAAGACAGAGCAGATGAAGCAGGTGATGACGAGCCCGACTCCACCTGTGATGAATCAGCTGACTCTTCGTCTGACCTCTGCTCCAGCACCGCCGCGACGGGCCCCCTCGACGATTTCCCATCTGATTCATCGGTGTTGTCGTTATCGGTACCGACAAAAGAGACAGCTGCCTGTCGATCTTCCTCTGCCGCACCTGACTCTCCTGCCGCACTGGACGTGGGCGACGTCACCAACACAGACGACGCCGATGGAGTTGACGTGCACGTGGACACCAGCTCTGCAGCGCCGTCAGATCCCCTTCTGCTCAACCCCGTTCCTCTCCTGCTGCTGTTGCCCTCGCCCAACTGGGGCCCTCGCAGCAAGGTTGCCATCGGCTTCTTCGCCTCTATTCTCATGTCAGCGCCGGTCTTCTGATATGCGGAGACGGGGGAACAGTCACAGCAATCGGATTCCCATGTCACTCTGCTGCCAATTCTCCATCCCTGAACAGCACCAGTCGCCAACACGGACCTTCTCGATGATGAAGAAGAACCGAACGGTCGGAATTGGTGTCGGCAACTGCCTGATCGCCACGTGGACGTGTCTGTTTTACTCCACGCCCCCGAGGGCGAAGTCGATGGCAATTTACATAGCGATGGAGACCTCGCCGGTGATGACGATGACGATACCGACCCCGATGGCGGAATCGCCTCGGCGGCTAATGGATGACTGCCACTCCTATTGATCAGCGGTTGTACTCCTTTCGACAAGGTGACAGGTGGTGATCGGAGAGCCATTCTTCTCTCCCCCTTAGCAGCAACGAGGCAACAACTCGGCACGGCCCGCCCGTCCACGCCAGCCCGCGCAACTCCTTCCCCTACTGCGCAGGGAGAGAAATGATTACCACCCCCAATGGCAACGGCTCCCCCAGCCCCGCCCTCGCCCTCACTGGTCAATCTGCCAAACTATCCAAAACGGACACGACGGGATTCAGTTTCCTTCCCGCCCATCCTGTCCCTCCTGACCCCCGGCACACGTTCTCCCCCCTTCCCGGCCCGCCGTTTCCCTTTACATGTGCCCTTCTCCGCRATGGCGGAGCGGCGGATGCGCGGCAGGAGATGGTGGAACGGCCAAGGGGAAAGGGAGGGAAAAGAGCCGATAGCCGGTTGGTCAGACCTCTCCCCTTCCCGCCCCAGCGTTCCCTTTACAAGTGCCCTTCTCCGCGATGGCGGAGCGGCGGATGCGCGGCAGGAGATGGTGGAACGGCCAAGGGGAAAGGGAGGGAATAGAGCCGATAGCCGGTTGGTCAGACCTCTCCCATGGAGAAAGATGGTGGCGATATCGCAACTCGCCCGCCAGACCTTTCCTTTCAATTTTTCGTAATTTTTTGGCCCGTTAAATTTGTCCTTTTCTGTTCTAGTAAGCTCCCCCCATTGCCGTAGCCCAATCTCCGACGGAAGAGGACCAACGTCATCCTGAAACGCGATCCAAAACGGCTTACGTCCAAGCCTGCAAAATCGATTGGAGGTTGGAATTCTTTTGGGCCCAGAAGTGACTGGAATGACCGCGAATCAATCCGCGCTGCGGCAGGACCTGGATCTCCATTCTTCGGGACATTGCGCGTACGCAACCTGGAGGCGGAACGTCCACTTGCAGACAGGAGGCCGACTAAGACGGAAGGCTTTATACGTGGCTTGCGGGGTGGCTGAATTCGCCACTGGAGAGTCCACGCGGCACTAGATTGCCCGAGAAGATACTCAGGCAAGGGCCTAAACCTTCACGAAATGAGACAATTCGATTAGACCACCAGTACGTGTGACCCTCGAAGGAGATGAGACATTTCAATCAGACCACCAGTACCTGTGGCCCTTCCCTTGCCGAGCCTCTAAATACACTGCGCGCCAAACAAAAAACAACAACGAGAGGCTTCTTTTGGCTAGCCTGGCCAGCGATATTGCTCAGAGAAAGGGCCTCTTTCTTTTTTTTCTTTTTTTTTTGTGCTCAGCGATATTGCTCAGAGAAAGGGCCTCGCCACACCACTCTTGAAAACGTACTTTCAAGAGTCTCTGCACCGTCACACAGCCTCTCTCCGGTGTTAGCCCAAAAATTCCTTCAAGAGCTGTCAGAAACGGGATTCAAGAGTTGCTCTTGAAATGCCCGAGCCCCCAGCCTCCAAAACTGTAGGTTTCAAGAGTGCTCGGCTGAGCAACTAGAAGGACTCTCAATTTTCAAGAGGTGTCAGGCACACTACTCTTTTATATGCACAAGAGTCGCATGTTCAAGAGTGCTGCGTAGCCAAGGCCCAAAAACTCTTGAAAGTGCAACTCTCTTGAAACCTTTCATCGTTTCAAGAGGGGTGTGGCGAGGCCCAAACTTGCAGGCACATGCACACCGCATTGGAGAAAAATTGCTGGGAAACATGCCGCCCTTTAAATTTTTAGTTTTAGTTTTTTTTCAACTAAGCTATTTTCTTCTCTCAATTTCACCTTTCACTACCTACCTATCACTACCCCTAAGCCTATACAAGGGACCCCTGCAAGCATAGCTACCTCTCACAATTAAACCACCAGTACTTGGCGCAGCTATCGATGCCGAGCCTGGAATGCCCTTGCGTGCCGATTTTCGCCGAAGCGCTGGGGTACAGTTTCGAACTTCTTTTGGCTGGCGCTTCCAGCCATTGTGGTCCGGTACCCTGAAGCCCTAAACGCGCGGCGTGTTAACGGGAAAGCGCCGCGGCCGATAGTTGGGCCAAGTACTGGTGGTTTAAGGGGATGCATGTTGCCCCCAGCCCTAATCGGTTGTGGTCACTTGTCAACGCACACACCTTCCTTACTCAAGTATTGGCAATCCCAACCGTACCAACCTCCAAACCACAACTATCGTTACCCCGCCAACCTACCTTCCACACTGACTTGCCCGGATCCCGCAGATCAACGCAACTACCCGGCGCACAACCTCGCAAGACTACTATCGGCTCGTTAGGACTGTCCGTCTCACTGACCATCACATCACCTAGCAGATGGGTTAACAGAGAGCTTGTCGAGCGCGCTTGCCGATTTTATAGTTGCGAAGGAGGAAGTAGAAGACGGGAGAAAGGGAAGGAGAAAGGGTCAAAAAGAGGGAGGAGGGGGATAGGATTATTCGCATTGGGAAGGCCATATTGATCCATCCGAGTCCTTCACCGCCAATCAGGTCATACAGCGAGGGGATTAATCATCTTTCTACATTGTCGTTTGATCGCTTGAAGGCTCTGGGGGGATCCGTGGGGACTTCTTGTACGGGGATGAAGCCGGAAACACAAATGGTTAACGGGATCCCCATGTTCAAGTCCTGAATAATAGACCCAAGACTAAAATTAGGGTTTGGGGGCCAAATTCTATGGGTTCTTTTTGTTTTGCCTGTTTTTGTTTTGCTTCACAGTTACAGTGTGCTAAATTTAGTTTCATTTGGAGCACTGGAATTTCCTCTGCTGAGATTTTTGAAATTTCTCAAGATTTCTAAAATTGAATGTTGGCAAAATTTATATGAAAGTGCACTTTTGCCTCGCATTTTTGTAGTTTTTTTTATTTTTTTAATTTTTTTTTTGCGATTAGTTACTATGGTCTCCGCTGTATGAATTGTTGGTAAGTTTTTATGAAATTACTCTTGGGTTTACTCTTGGGTTTTGTTATAAATGGCATGACAAGTTTTTTGAAATTTTAGGTCTTCGATAACCATCTCTCGGCGGGAAGGGGGAGGAGGAGAAAAACGGTGCAGAGCAAAACCAAAATTCAGATGGGGCGAGGGAGAAGGAAGTGTGAAGTGAAAGAGGATGGAAAACAATTACGGGTTAAGGGAAGAAGACACGAAGGAGAGATGAGTAAAAATAACTTAAGGTACAGCGGGAGACGGGCAAAACTTGCATGCATGGCATTAGCGCAGAAATAAAAAGGCACCGAAAATTGTTATGCTTTGCCTATTCCAGCTCTAAAACTAGTTCAAGATTGAAAAATTTAAAAGCAATATTTATGACCGAAATTGGATGTACGAAAATACTACGCCTCTTCAAATTTTCACAGAAAATTAACAAACCTTTCCAAGGCGGATTTCAAAACACTTATATACAAGAAAGGACACATCAACGGCAAGTGCGCCCGCAAATTATGAAGTTCCCAATTGCCGAGTAAAATTACTAGCTCGCTCGCTAAGGTGCACGCAATTCCTATGTAAGTTCGTAGGTTTTTGAAGAAAATATTTTTGAGCTAGGAGGGCCTCAACGACCATTGATACCATGCATCACTCGTCTACTAAAAAAAAGGTACCCAGCCTGGGGCCATGGCATGAGAGCAGAAGGTCTGCGCGCCTTGTTCTTCGTCCTTTTCTCATTTTGGAAGCTAAGTGCACGGCGAAACGCCAGTTTCTTTCAATTTTATGAGTGTGTTACTCTACTTCACTCCTTGGTCCACTTCTTCGATCAAGCTATGACCCCGTCAATGCTCTCTCTCTCTCTCTCTCTCTCTCTCTCTCTCTCTCTCTCTCTCTCTCTCTCTTTCTCTC